TGGCCATCAAACCGGGAGGGACATGGTCAAAGAAAGAGAGAATAATTTACGAAACCCAAGAGAAACTGTCGCCGCCTGCAGACCTGCTTACTTCTTGTACCAAATCTCGCTGCCTCAACGAGGCATTCAACGGATTGGGTGACACCTTCCTGCTCTCCCTACGCACTTGGGAGGAGTGGGAAGAGTGAAGTCATGCCCACGAGTTGGATGCCGTGGTAACTGTCGCTGGGCGCAAAACAACCGGCTTGCTATCTTCTCATGTTGACGCGTTTTGCGGCATGTGCATCTTCATGCAGTGTCTAAGTCATGTGGGGCATGCTCAGACTCGACCATGTGCCAACACCCTCCTCTGGCTCAACACTTCTCTCTCTCTCACCCCTCGCCGTGGGCCGATGCAACAGAACAATTCATGAATTCCTTCAGTTCAAACTTTCTCTAGAAACAAACAACCAGCTCTTCTGCTTCTCTGCCGGACACTTTGCTGTTGTGGTCGTAAGGAGGAATACGAGACCCGAAATCGGAAACTGGGATTAGAACTAGAGAGGACGGTAATTAATTGAGCCGCACGTGTTTGTGAAAGCTTCCAAAGAGCATAATCAGCTTCCAAAAGATAACCTGAATTTGCATCGTCTATACATTGAACTATAAATGGTAGTTTGTCTTTGACACTATGCTTTTTTTATTCATTACAAGAAATTTCATGTAATTGGGCCAATGTGTTCCATTTCCGATGCGTCCCGAATAGCCGATTTCACGACCTGCAATGATTAGCTTTTTTGTAGAACAACTTTTGTCAGCTTAAGGTGAGATGAGAACTGAAAGTGTTGCTTTTCCAACAATAAACGGTATGGGCGTCAAGATGCCATTGGTTTTCACTCAGATTTGCCTTCCAAAAAGTATTCTCATCTCGACTGGACTGCAGCTCAGACTGAAAATGTAGCATCGTCGTGTTCGCTTCACTGACGTGCTCACTTGTAATATGCGGTTCGGTAAAGGACCGGCATGTCTTGGAAGTCACATGTGCTGTTGCTGTAACGTACCGACGCCCGGAGATATGCAGAGGCGCTGACCGTGGCTTGGTTACTCGCGGTCCGGTCTTAGATCTCGTTCTGGCTGCTGATTGGAGGTGATGGGGCAAGATTCAGACTGAAACACATTCCAATCCAAAGTAATCCAATCCAATCCAGTTTTATTTAGAGCTGTGAAGTCTAGTGCAGTCTAGTTCATTCCAATATAATTCGATCTAGTCTAGTCTAGTTTAAGTACAGTCCAATCATATCCAATCACGTCTTGTTCAAACTAGCCAGTTCAGTTTAATCCAATCCAATCAAGCTTAACGTAGAGCAATGCAAGCTAGTGCATTCCAATCGAGTGCGGTTCGATTTAGAGCATTGCAGTCAAGTCCAGTCTAGTCCAATCCATTGGGAACCAATCAATTTCTATTAAGAGCAGTGTAGTTTAGGTCAATTTGGTCCAATCCAATCTTTCCATTCCAATCCAGTTTGATTTAGAGCTGTGTAGTCTAGTGCAGTCTAGTTCACTCTAATATAATTCGGTCTAATCTAGTCTAATTTATACAAATGCATTTAAGTAGAGTCCAATCCTTTCCAATCCCATCTTTTTCAAACTAGCTAGTTCAAGTTAATCCAATTCAATCAAGCTTAACGTAGAGCAATGCAATCTAGTGCATTCCAATATAATTCAAGCTAATCCAATCTTATCCAATATAATTCAATCCAATCCCGGGCGGTTCGATTTAGAGCATTGCCGTCAAGTCCAGTCCAGTCCAATCCATTCGGAACCAATCATTTTCTATTTAGAGCAGTGTAGTTTGGGCCAATGTGGTTTAATCCAATCCAATCCAATCCAATCCAGTTTTGTTCGATGTTACAACCACTCGCAAATGCTATTAAAAGCAGTCTCTGGCGCCAGAAACGATGGAGACGGATTGAAAGTCCTCCTTTCGGAGCCTGTCTTAAAAGGCCTCACTGTCTCAGAACGACGGCTTCACCGGCACCCTTTGACCCCGTTCCTCCTGTCCGTCCCTTTTGTCATCTATTCCCCATAGATACCACATCCAACTTGAGCCTACCTCGCCAGCCTACAATGCTCGCTCGTCGACGCAGACAGTGGATCGTGCGGAGCTGTCGGCCAACCTGACCGGTCTGGTGGCGGGCACCGAGTACATGGTCAGCGTGTCCGCCGAGGCCAGCAGCGAAGCCGACGTCAAAACGGAACTCGGATTCACCTCCACAATCATTGTTCCCCTCAAACCATCCGGTGGGTCTCAATTTGTGTTGCCTTGGTTACGAAACCCTGTTTATAGGACAATGCCAACTCATCTCTGCTCGCCAACTGGATTGCCGCATCTACACCCACTGCCACACCTCGGACTCTCTCCTCCCTTCTCATCAGGCTGCTCCTGTCGCCTCAGGCCAGCACACGCAAACACACACACACTCAGTCACTCACTCATCAACGAAGTTACTCACTCACTCAGACTCACAAAGTCGTCCTTAAAAAAAATCACAAACTCATTCATTCACTCACTCACGTAAACACGCATCCACGCAAACACTCCTTCATTCACACGATCACTCGTCACACACTAATCTACTAATGTACTCAACCACAAACAACTCACACACTCACTCAATCACACACTGACTGACTCACTTACTCACTCCCACTTTCACACACTCTGTCATTAACTCACCCACTCAGCCACTCACACACTCACAAACTCACTCAGGTAAG